TTTCCTAATGGGGTGCCTAAAAGAGTTTCAGGTACAATACACATTGAAAATTTCTTCTAAGTACTGTAATTAGCGATGAAAAATAGAAAATGCTTACAGCATTGCTGACTTAGATAACTTGGAATTACATCATTAGAATCTCAACAGGTTTTTTTAGGGTGGGGGATTAATGTATGTTTGACTTTTTTTTAGAAGGTAATTTTCTTAAGATAATTTTAATGATATTCATGGAAATAAGCATATAGTAGCATATTTTTTCTCTCTTCCATTAAATTGTGACCTTAAATATACAGATTAGTACAGACTAGGTCTTACTCTACCATCTAATAAGCTTGACAGTATTTAAAACATTATGGGTGTGTAGATACTTATATGCTGAAAATATATTAAATATGTAATCTAAAAGTTCTTGCTATATTAAGCCTTGGAAGTGGGAAATCTGAGGGTTAGAATCCTCTTCTTCATATTGTTCTTCACACTTACACAGTTATTACATGAAAGTTTTTTTTTTACTTCATCCTTTATAATTAAATCATTATATGTGCTGTGAGGAAAAAATATAGCAATTATATCTCTCACTAAAATATTTTGCTAAGATTGTAAAGGACTCTTTCCCAATTGAATGGAATTCTGCGCTTACTGCTGTTCAGTCTTACTATGCTAATATGAAACATATTTAATATTAATTTATTACCAAATTTGCTACATGGATCATTCTGCTGCAGATTTTTTTTTAAAATATATCTTTATTGATTTCAGAGAGAGGAAAGGAGAGGGAGAGAGAGAGATAGAAACATCAATGATGAGTCATTGATCAAGCCCACAACCCGGGCATGTGCCCTGACTGGGAATTGAACCCTGATCGCCTGGATCCTAGGTCGACGCTCAGCCGCCGAGCCGCACCCGGCCAGGCTCTGCTACAGATCTTAAACTAGAAACCTTGTTCAGAAGTGCTTAAGTTAAATAAATTGGTAAAAATTAGGGTTGGAATTTGTAATTTTAAATCAGATTGGAAAGTTAAAAGGAGTTCAGTGTGAAACACTTCAAAGGGAATAGAAAGTGGTTTTGTAACTTTTTTATTTCACCTAGAAACATTTAAAGAAGTTTAAACAAGCTTTTAATTAAGAGATCGTTTTCTACAGTAATCTAAAATCACTTTAAGTACTCAAAATAAGCAACACTAATCAATTTAGAAAACTGTACTGTTTTTGATATGTGGATGAAAACTTTTGGAATGTGTTTATTAGAATTCACTGCAATCTTTTTTTTAATGCTGTACTTACTTTTCATCTTAAAATAACTGGTATGATTAAGAACAATTAATTTCTAAGGAGTTTTGTAAATAGCTGTTAGCATATCACTGATACCAAAGGAGCAAAGCAGGATGTATTTTTAATTAAGACATAATTTGCTTTATTAGTAATGACAGTTATAGTTGATGGTTTTACGATATGGAACCTGACCAATACCACTGTTTTGTATTTTCGGAGGAAAAAAAGGAATTTCTGTTTAGGTAGTTCATGTATAGGTTTCTTGTTGTTTCCTCACATACAGGGTTTTGATATACGTGTTTCAAACATCTAAACTTCAACCAATAAGTTATCTAAGTTCCTTTTTGGAAATATTGTATTCTGACATCTTTGAAGTAACCTGCTTTCAGCTGTTTCAGTATCTTACCTGGTAGGTCCTCTACCCTAATCTCCTAGTTCTCCTAGCCTGTGAGAAGCATACAACTGGCAACCATGGCGTGTTCATCCTGTGCCAGGCATTAAGATAACTCCATAAATGGCTAACCACTAAGCTGTACACCTGAAACTAATATAAAATAATAATTGAATGTCAACTGTAATTGAACAAAAATGGTTAAAAAAAAAGATAACTCCATGTGCTCTACTTGGATGTTTAACCATCACCTCTAGACTCTGAATATTCAAAATCAAACTCATTCTTCCATTAAAACTGATTTCCCTTCCTAAGTACTGTTTCTCTCACAGTTCACAGTCCTCTTCAACTCTTTCAGTTCCTCCACATACTGTGCTTACTCACATCTCCCTGCCTTTGTCTATTCTGTTCCTTCTAGCTAGAATTTTCTCTCAGATGAGCACCAAAATATCTTCTTTGTAAAACCTGTTAAGATGATTAATACATTTTTATATCCCTAGATATATCCAAAAGAAGGTATATTTAATAAGTGTTAGAGCATTTGGGGAAGACATATAATATACAGGGGTGGGCGAAGTAGGTTTACAGTTCATATGGAAAAATATATAATACAAGAATATATAATAAGACAAAAATAAACTCTATTTTGTATACTCACAAATATAAAGCTACTTTTACCCACCCCTGTATTGTCTGAATTGTGGGTCAGCAAACCATGGGCCACAGGCCAAATCAAGCCACCATTTACAGAAAAAAATATCAGGCCCTGCTCTAAATGAGTATTTGTTAAACCAGAGTCCATCAGTTTTGCCCAAGTTTCAAGTATTGGGCCAGCATATATAGCCTATTCAAACAACAATACTAGCATATTTTCTCAAGCCTAACCTTTTTATATATTCATAACCAAAGCAAGAGATATGTGGCAAACTTTTCATTAAGTCTACTTTAATTCCTTTCTACATTAGCATACTGTATTTTTTATTTGTAGCCCTTAGAACTTAGAGACAGGCATCAGGTAGTTGACTTTAAATTTTGGGGGGCTCCTGCATTTTCTGTTATCTTTAATGCTGGAGCATTTGATGTAAACCTTTTTCTGTGATTTAAACTGGAATCTTCCTTGTTCCCCTAATTTTATAAACATTGATAATTTCTCATAACTTTATAAGTATTAAAGTAATGCTTCAATTATATTCTCTGCTACCTCTTCCCTCAAAAAAAATTCTTCTGTTTTATTGGCCAAGAAAAACAATATTCCCTTTCCCTCTATTTTGATCATAGTATTAAGTAATATTTAGAAACTTCAAAGTAATGTTTTAAAATTAATTTCAGTCTTTTCCTTATCACTTACTGGTAGCAAAGGAAGGTTGAAATGCAACAGATGGTTGAATACAATGAATGACTGTAGGCTTATCTCATTCCCCGATGCATTCCCCCCTTCCTAAAATGTCATGCACAGCTGTATACCTTCTTCTCAGCCAGAATTTCAGTCACAGTGTTCACCCACAAATTCCAAGTCGTTTAAAGGAAAAAATTAAAAAAAGAAAGAAGTACGATTGGAAATAGTCAAGGGACCTAAAGCTTATAGTGGAATAAATGTAGAAAATTTTGCAATTAAGGTTCGGAAGTGATAAAAGATGCTAAATTATTATTATTATTCCCTAAAGCTGAGAGCTGGTGCTGCAATCCTAGCTTTGATACAAAGTTAATTATAGAGCTAAGGCTATATTGCTGACATATTAGAAAAAGGAAAGAGTTTTAAGAAATGTTGTTCAAAATAGGTTAAATGAACAAACATAACCCAAGAATCTGGCAATATTTACCGCAATTATAAATGGACTATTCCTTTGACCCAGCAAGCCTACTCTGGTACTCTGTCTTACAGATACAACACCACACATTTGAAATTACATGTTCAGGTTTATGTGGTGCAGCATTGTTTATAAAGCAAAAGATTAGACACAGTCCAAGTATCCATCAATAAAGGACTGGATCATAAAATCAGAAAGACATTGAAAGGCCAGATGAAAACATGTCACTTGATATGCATATTTTCTACACAATTATATTGAAAATGCAGGAAAAGTAGACCCTAAAAGTTGCTATTAAGGGATGGCAAATAGGAAATAAATACACATGACCGAATTTTACTATGTTGTAAAATACCAGAATTTTTTACTTTATCTCTTAATGTATAAAAACTGTGTAAGAGCTTACATACATTGCCTTGTTTTGATCCCCATTCCAGTTGATTTATATTCCCATGTAAGCTGAACATACTGTTAGAGTACTCAGGCACCTAGTCTCATGGTGGGGGGAGAACGACTCTAATTGATTCTTACAGTTTTTTCCTTCATCTCTGAGGTAAAGGTGGGCTGTCAGTTACTACATTTTTTATAAAATTTGTTCCTACGGAGGAACAGCATTTTAAGTTGTATTTATCATTTATACCCCACAGCATCTTTAAAAAGATTCAAGATGGTAAAAAGGGATACTTGGGAACTTGCTCTCTGATGTGGTTTGTCTGAGTGAACACAACTTTAGACAAAGCTTTAAACTAAAGCTGTGGATAGAGGAAAATGTCTGGAGCCTGGAGTCTAGATTTATATTAGTCAAGTAGTAGAATGTCCTAACAGTTTAAATATATAGAGTAAAGGTTTGTGAAGAATCCAAGATAACACTGAATTCTGTGCTTATTTTTCATAAATTGTAACATGGTCTACTGTGTAAAAAAATTAGTCATGGTAGAGAATTAGTTGCATGGGGAAAAAAGTAATTCTGCCTTTTCAGTATTTCCTTGGAGTTAAGAAAAATGAAAATTCTGGACATGCAGAACTTGATTGTTGATCTGTAGCTAGGTTTGTTATAGCATACTCCCTAAAGTAATAAATTTCTAATGCATTGCTATGTAATTGTTTGCTAGCATATACCTCTGGACTTAATTCTCAAATATTTGAAAGCTAGAGTATATTTTAAGTTATATTTAAGTAATATTTCTTCTTGCTTGGACAATAATGTAAAGCAAATGTGTAAGTCATTAATTTTTGCAGATTGCATTTGCTAGTAATTACCTATGTAATATTAGACTTTAAGTGTTTTTATATAAAGCTTTTCATGTCATTCTTACAACAATTCTCTATAGTTGAAGAATTATTCCCATTTTTTAAGGCCCAGAGAGTTCGTGATTTATGATATAAATCACTAATCTATGATATAAATATAACTCAAAGTATTCTGTCTGCAGATGTCATCATTTCTTCACCATAGTCTCATATTTATTTTGTTTACTTTTAATGTCATAATATTGTACCTAGTTGATGGCATGCTTTTTATCTTTCCAGGATATGGCTTTGGTTGCCCCTGAGGCTCCTTCAGAACAAGCCAGGAGAGTTTTTCAAACCTATGATCCAGAAGGTAATCAATTTTATTAACATAAATTCTGTGTTTTATATCTTTATATATTTGAAATAGCTTGATATTGACCTGAGTTTTATTCACAAGAGTTGTTGGATTATTGAATGAAATGTAGGTTGTGTTTCTTGAACATTTTAAATGGGAAATGTGAAAATGGAAACAAAAAAGGATACTTAAGTGCTCATCAAGTTCTTACATGGTATGAGGTTTTCATGTTTCTTGGGGTACTGAATTATGGTTACCTGAATCTTCACTTTTTATAGTCATTGTTAAATGGGAAAATACTACTTTGTGAACAAGCTCTTTGAAAAGTAAGTCATTTCCTTTTTTAATTTATTTATTAAATAAACAACTCTACTAAAATATCGTTTGAGATATAATTGATATATAACAGTCTGTAAGTTTAGGGTATATAGTGTGTTGCTTTTATATATTTATATATTGCAAAATCATTGCTACAGAAGTGTTACCTACTATCATATCACATAATTATCTTTTTTATAGTCAGAACAATTAAGATCTATTTTCTTAGCAACTTTGAAATTTATAAAACTGTATTGACCATCATCACCATGCTGTGTATTAGCTCTCCAGAACTTATTTCTCTATTAGTTGCAAGTTTCTACTTTTAAACAATATCTTCCCAGTTAACCCATCCCCAGGCCCTAGTCACCACCATTCTGTTTTTGCAAATTCAGCTCTTTTAGATCCTACATGTAAATATTATTATACGGTATTTGTCTTTCTCTGTCTGATTTCTTTCAATTTTTATAATGCCCTCAAATTCCATTCATGTTACAAGAGACAAGATTTCCTTATTCCTCCTGGCTGAATAGTGCGTGTGCGCGCGGCTGTGTGTGTGTGCGTGCCTGTGTGTGTTTAATCCATTTCTTTATCCATTTATCTGTTGATGGAGACTTAAGTTGTTTTCATATCTGGGTTATCATGAATAATGTTGCAATGACTATGGGTATGCAGAGATATCACTGAACAACAGATTTGAAGTCCTTCAGATATATACCTAGGAATGTGATTGCTAGATCGTATGGTAGTTCAATTTTTAAGTTTTTGAGGAACCTCCATAGTGTTTTCTTTAATGGGTGTGCTTTTTACATTCCCACCAATACTGTATAAGGGTTCCCTTTTCTCTACATCCTTACCAACATTTATCTTTTGGATTTTTGATAAAAGCTATCCGAACTATCCTAACAGGTGTGAAGTGACACATCAAAGTCCATTGCCCTTTTTTTTTAAGTTGCATTATTTGCTTTTTTTGCTATTGAGTTCTTTGAATTCTTTATATATTTTAGATGTTAACCCTTTATCAGATATATTGTTCGGGAATATTTTCTCTCATTCTTTAGGTTGCTTTTTTTCAGTTTATTGTTTCTTTTTGTGTGCAGAAGCTCTTTAATGTAGTCCCATTTGTTTATTTAATTTTACTTATTTTTCTTTTTATTGTCCAAAATATTACAGATGTCCCTTTTTCTCCACATTGACCCCTTCCACCCCCGCCCCCCCA